AGTACAAGCTAAAGGTCGAGGAACACTTAACAAACTCTGACCCCTGATCTATGTAGAAGGGCATCTAGGTCATCAGTGACTACAAGCCTGGCAAATCCACCCCAACAACCACAGATGTCTCCTTCCTCAATGAGCTAAATGACTTCTATGCTCACCTCAACCGGGACAACAAGGATACAGCTATCAAGTTCAGACCCTCCGCAGACCACCAGCCACTCACACTCACCTCAAGCCGGATCAACGTGCGCAAGGCTGCTGGCCCTGATGGCATCCCTGGACACGTGCTCAGGGCATGTGCAGGACAGCTTGCTGGCGTCTTTATCGACATTTTTTAACCTGTCCCTCACCCAAGCAGTTGTGCCGACATGCTTCAAAACCACCGCCATTGTGCCAGGGTGAAACATTTCACCCTGACGTGCCTGAATGACTACCGCCCTGTAGCACTCACACCCATCATAATGACGTGCATTGCACACCTGGTCCTGGCATGCCTGATGACCTGTCTCCCACCCACAGTGGACCCTCACCAATTTGCTTAATGAAGGAATAGGAGCATGGAAGATGCGGTCTCCATAGTACTGCATTCTGTACTCAGACATGTGGACAACAACAACACCTATGCAAGAATGCTGTTTGTGGACTTCAGCTCAGCATTTAACACAGTCATCCCCTCCAAGTTAACCACCAAACTTGGCAACCTGAGCATCAACACATCCCTCTGCAACTGGTTTCTGGACTTTCTGACCAACAGACCTCAGCATGTTAGGTCAGACAACACCTGCTCCTCCACCATCATCCTCAACACCGGCGTACCACAAGGCTGTGTGCTGAGCCCCTTCCTCTACTCCCTTTTTACCCACGACTGCAGGCCTTCGCATGGCTCCAACACCATCATCAAGTTTGCAGACGACACTACAGTGATCGGCCTTATCAGCAATAACAATAAGTCAGCCTACAGGGAGGAGGTACAGCACCTAGCTGTGTGGTGTGCTGACAATAACCTGCTCCTAACAAAACCAAGGAGCTCATTGTGGAGTACAAGAGGGAGAAAGAAGGCACACACGACCCAATCCATATTAACAGCATGGTTGTTGAATGTGTCTCCAGCTTCAAATTCCTGGGGACCCACATCTCACAGGATCTGTCCTGGACTACCAACACCCGCAGCCTGGTTAAGAAGGCTCACCAGTGCCTCTTCTTCCTGAGGACACTGAAGAAAAACCACCTATCTTCAGCCATCCAGGAGAACTTCTACTGCTGTGCCATCGAGAGCATCCTCACCAGCTGTATCACAGTCTGGTATGGAAACTGCTCTGTCTCCGACTGCAAGACGCTGCAGCGGTTGGTGAAAATTGCCCAACGCATCATAAGGACTCTGCCTCAAGCCATTGAGGGTGTCCACAGGGAATGCTGTCTTTGATGTCCTCACAATGTTCTCAAGGACTCCTCTCACCCTGCTCACAAACTGTTTGACCTCCTGCCCTCTGGGAGGCATTTCAGGAGCCTCTGGACCAAAACCAGTAGACTCAGGAACAGCTTCTTCCCCACAGCTGTCTCCTTACTGAACTCTGTCCCCCTTTGACCCCCCACTGCCCTCCCCTATAACACTACACACACCTCACCCCTTCTCATCTCTCCTCCCGGGAATAATGCAATACATTTCTGTTACCTGTAACACTGAAGTGATCTGTTAATTTGCACATACTCTACTCACAGAATACTGCTCTGTAATTCATTTGCACACTGTTCAGATGCTGGTACTGTATATTTATCTTTGCATTATTTACATCCATTGAACTGTTGAGTCATGTAACACATTGTTGTCTTCTTATTCTGCAGTTTCATTCCATCTCATCCAATTGCACTATTGTTCCATAAGATTATTGTACCTTGTCCATTACTTGTAATTTAAATCCATAGTCTGTTGTACATCGTACATTACCCTACGTACCTTACTGTAAATATCAATTGTACATAATCAACAGTAAATTAGTTCTGACTGTACATACTGTAATACCCCAGTTCTTTAATTGGACAGCTCTGAATAACAAAGGAGCCCGTCTTTCTTCATTTAGTGCTGATTTATTTTAAACCACAAGTAAAAATTACAAACACCACCCGGGTTGTTCCCCCTTCCAGAGACCCACGCACTGGCTGCTGGAAAAAGGAGTCCCTGGCCACACAAAGCCTAATACATTTATAAGTTTTGGGCTAACCCCTTACCCAGATGAAGTCAGACCGCAAACTCCATCTCTTATCTAGTAGTCCAGCTGCATTTCTACCTAGTCATAACAAAATGAAAAATCTCAATGTCACGTGATGCGTAGCTAAGGCATTTATTTATTTATTCAGACATAATATTCTAACAAGATTTAATACAAGAAAACAATTGGTGTCATGGTTCACTTTTCAGAATCAACATTCTGTCTGCTAACCTTGAAACAAAACAGACTAGAGCATACTTTGAATCTTACTAAATTGCATTACTAACACATTAATGTTTAACAATTATCTAACAATACCCCTAGATACTGTGCACTCTGCACTGCTGTTATTGCACTTCTGGTTAGATGCTAAACTGCATTTTGTTGCCTTGTACTTGTACATGGGTAATGACAATAAAGGAGACAAAAAAGAAAGCTATTTTTGTTCATATAAAAGACCTGTCACTAAATAGGGGTGGTGGACTAAGATACAACTTGTCATCCATCTACAACTCTGTTTTGAGATTTCTGCTCAAACATGCCCACCAGGACAATAGGTGCTGGTCCACAGGTGAGGGTTCAAAGACAGGTAACAACACTCACCAATACTACTGTTATACCCCAGTTCTTTTATTGGACAGATCTGAATAAGGAAGGAGTCCGTCTTTCTTCATTTTAGTGCTGATTTATTTTTAAAGCCACAAATAAAAGTTACAGAACACAACCTGGGTGGCTCCCTGCTCCAGGCAACTGCTAGAGAAAAGAAGTTCCCAGAAACACAGAGCCTAATACATTTATAAGGTTTTTGGCTAACCCCTTACACAAAAAGATATAAAAACATCACAAGTTGGAGACAGTCCGGCATCTCCTTCTCTTTTCTAGAGCTCCACAATCTTGGAGCAGCTGGTCATAACAAAATGAAGAATTCCATGTGTGTGTGTGTTGTTACGTGGTGCGTAACTAAAACATTCATTCAGACATAATTCTAACACAAGATTAATACAAGAAAACAATTGGTGTCAAGGTACACTTTTCAGAATCAACATTGCCTTCTAACCTTGAAGCAAAGCAGACTAGAGCAGACTTTGAATATTACTAAACTGCATTACTAATACATTTGATTCAGCACATTAATGTCTAATACTTATCTGACAGATTTATTAATTTCTAAGACTACGTTATAACGACTCAATCGTTAGGGGACATTGTTGGCGATCAAAGGACTGAAACACCACAGATGGGGATAAATATCTCCGACTCAACGCCAGTCAGGCAGAACTGATGAAGCCTCTTGGATGTGAGGTGAAATGTCTTCGACCTAAAAACCTAGTCCAGTTGATGTTTTTTTTTCTATGTTTTTGCAGCTTACTATGACCTGGATGACTGAGAATCTGCATAGACATGACAATAAAGTTGAATCTAATCTAATCTAATCTTGTAGAAGGTGACATCTTGTACTGGCTGAAAAGAGGATGAGAGGCACAAGCCATTCTCTTGTACTGACAAATGAACCTGAATGAAGATAAAATAAAAAAATGTAGGAAGAAAGAATAGATTAGTGCCTAAAACAAGAAAAGACAAACCTGAGCAGTCTTAATAGACTTCAGTTTGTCAGATCCAATGTCAGGCTCACCCCTGCCAACTGCTGCCTCACTGTAGATGATTTAGTTGTTGCCAGCAGCTAGATACTGTGCAGTATTTTCACATTAGCAGCTAATCCTTCAGAAATGCTTTCTGAAAGAATGCCAACAAGGTTCAAACAGACTGCCTGATTCACAAGTAGTAAGTCACTGAGGGGAGATGCAAGAATATATATTATCACATTAATTGGCCTGGCTGCTCAAGTAAATGTATTTTTCTCTATTACCTCAACATTCCAGGTTGCTGAGCAGTCAACAAATCAAATCGAAGTTTCCCACCACCCGGCCAGAGAGACCACTCTATCACTGTTCAGCAACCACAAGGCACTACCAACAAAATAACATTCTCATTCCCTGCCACCCCAAGTAAACATGTTTCATTTTAAGGGGTCACAAGCTCAATACTGCCATAGGAAACCACAGCTTTAGAGAGTTTTCATGTTTCTACCTTCACTATTTTAGTATGACAGCAATAATACCTGCTTAAGGTCCGCTTACAATTTTCACTCTTGAGCTCTCAACTGTTATCACGGTCTTCATCAGCAGGTGGAGTCTATTCTGTTTTTACAGTGATGGATATGTTGAAATGCAATCCCTATACTTAATATTTCATATCTTTTTATTTGTAACTTGACAATATGATACAATATAATGTGCAAGAAGAAGCTAAGTGGACCTTGAATTACGATTGCTTTGTTAAGTTACATTTCCAAGGTCAAGAATGAGCTTTCTTGTTGATTTAAATTAGTTTATAATATGGTGCATGTTTTGAAATTGACTTGGGGTGTGGGGTAAGGGGCACTGTGCAACAGCATTTTTTTTTTCTAGAGTCCCAAAAAAGGTCCCCTGCCATAGTGAAGATAATACTGTTATGATTAGGGTAAACAGACCCCGAAAGAGCAGGGATGCAAGAAGATGGAGACCAAGCGCCTTGTCCTATATTAGGGACTAGCCATTTTGATTAATTCTTCTGGAGGTAACTTGTAACTAATGATGTGTAATGTTAGTTCTTTGCTAAAATGTATTAAAAAAAAACAATTAACAACATCCCTAAAGAGATACCTAAATATATAGCGAAGGCCTGTGATTAACGTTTGAGTGTTATGTCAATTGTGAGGCAACGTGATTGTAAGGCCTCAAGAGATTTAAGCAAAGGGCGGAAACAGTGCAGTATAGTGGAATGATAAATCTCTCTGCACATATTAATGGCTTAACAGCTCAGGCAAAGCCAGTTCACAGCGATAAGAAGCGCTATTAAAACCTGATGAATATGAGTCACTCAAACTGCAGTGTGAACGGAGGCGTGGGTCCAACTGTAGCACGCAGGCAGCGGCACTCTCATCTCTGCCAGCACTGACTCCTCCACTGCAGCTCATGATCGCCTTCATCAGCGCGTCGCCTGTTTCTGTGGAGGTGGAGTAGTCATGACAGCCTCAAACACTGGCCAGCACCCCACCACCGCCGCCTCCTGTTCTTCTTACAACGCGTGGTAGACTGATGCGCATTGCTGTGCCTTTTCTGGTTTTTTCTTCCGGCGTTGTTTTTGTTTGTGTCCCGCAGTGACCATCGACTGACTGCTGGATTGCAGCGAGTTAGCTCTGTGTACCCAGACAACCCAGGCATGTCATCTGTATCGACTGGAAACTGCGTTGAAATTCGCTTTACTACTTGAGGGAATCCAAGTTGCGGTAATGGAGGCTTCGCGGAATGACGGGGCTCTCACATACTTAGGGAAAACTGACGAAAGAGACAGTTATTGTGATCTGGAACATCTGCCTCCTCTGCTGGAAGACGAGGTGAGACCGTGGATTTTATTTGAAGAAATAAGATTCGATTCATATAAAATAATAAACTTAACTTCAAAAATGACTGATTCCAAGTTAGTTAAGTCAAATGATAACCTTAAAACTTGCAGCGTGGACGGTGACCATTTATTTATTTAAATAAATTTAAGCTACTTCTTTTGGCCTTAAACGTTTGTTGAAATGAAACTGTCTCAGGAGTTAACAGAGGAAATCACTCTGGATGGTGGACATGCTAATAAATATCTGAAATGTAGGGTCCCCAACCAGCCATTGTTTGAAATGGCCAATAAGCAAATGAACCATTTAGAATTATCTCCATATACAAATACAAAATGTCACCAGATCTTCATATTAATTGCACCAATGAACAAACATGATTTAATTGATAATACGCAGCCAGATAAGTTAATGCCAAAGACACAAGAAAGAATGCTCAGTGAAGTAAAAAAGGAATAAATAATAATATATGAATAAGAATAGCATCACTGCGATTTAAGTTTGCCAAAGAGCACCAAGACATGCCACAGAGCTCCTGGGAGAATGTTACACAGAGCATGATTGGGACTGCTTTATTGCTTTGGTGCAGAAGCTCAGAGGCAAACTTATGCAGGACACCATATTTAACTTGAGGGTGGTGAGAGAGACTTCTAACATTCCCCTGCACTGTTCTCAAGGGAAATGGTCTATTTATGGGGCTGGTAATGCTGTTGCTGCTGCTTGAAGTGGCACGTTTCTCCTTTGTAAATGGACTCTACCCCACTAGATCACATAATATGCTTTTTGTCATAATCTGCTTCCAACTCTATTGAATCTAAAAGATAGTTATGAAGCAAACATGATCAGACATGATATAGTGGCTTAATATTAAAGATATTACAGTCATTTCACAGTAAGAGTGAAAAGTTCGCATTCAGAGTCACTCTGGTGTGGTATACAATAGAACTTTGAGACGTCCTTCAAGATGAAGGACCAGAATGACTTCTGGGTCAAGTGAGGATTAGAGTGTAGATACCCAAACAGAGCCTGATGCGATCCTTTGGCACCTGATGGTACGGGTTGTGTCCAGACACATAGGTCAAACTTTAGGCTGGATGGATGGAGCACTCAAATGTCTGCTTCATTTAATGATAAGGGGAAAAATACCATTCAAACTCAATTGTATTGGACTCGGGTCGGGTTCGGACATTGTATACTATATGGTCCAGATGCCACCTTCTCAGGCACAAGTCAGGTTCGGATGCTTTATTGAGGATTGAAGCGCAAGGAACAATCACATAAGGGAATTGGGATTTGCCCATAATGTCATGGGGGAAAGATTTTTATTTCATAATAGTACAGAATTCAGTGCTTGACAATTGCTGTTGTGTGATGCCCCTATGTTCCACATTGCCACTCCTATAAAGCCAGCGTTTGTGTTCACTTGCAAACCAAACAGAAGATCCTGCAGTAATTAGACCGTAGCATTATGCAGGAAGCTGCATGGAATGTCTGAGATCACAGTCTGCCAGGATAAATGGGCCCGTTTGGTAGAAGTAGAACACAACTAATGCAGTATGTTCACATGGGGGTGTAGTGTCATTCTGTACCATGAAAAGTGTACGTTCAGGACGTCACGTTCTTTGTGTACCAAAGGCCCATTATTGAAGAAAATTAAGGCTTTTCTGCTGCTAGTGTCAGCCGTTCATGCTGTTCAGTATGGTGTGTATGTAATAATGTGAAACATACAGTATCTTGTGTTACCTTCAAATAATTACTATTAGCTTGTTAGCAAACGCATTCACTGCTATTCACTGTTGAATCTGGGCCACAGTTAATGCAGCATAATCACACACCATGCATTTTTATTAGTACTGGATGTTAAACAGTGTTTTTTAATCTATCAACGCAGACACACTGGTGGTAGAACTAGCGCTAAAGTATAGTAGGCTACGTTTGCAGCATGGCTGGCCAAAACACAATGGAAACTCAGGGGCTGAAAACGTGAATCAAGCCACTCACGTCGATTTGTCATAACGTGGCTGTGTCGTACACGCCTACATCACTCCTCCTTCAACCCCTTACCCCCCCGAACAACGCAGCCGCAATTCCCTTAAAACACAACAGGGAGTTGCATTTTTGTCTGAATGTGAATGTACTGTCACTTTACCACCACACTCCATCATACTGGCTACTGCTCTGGTTCTGTTATGTTCTGTTATGTACTGAAAGTCCTGTGACTTATCCATCCTCCCCAACATCCTCAGCTCCACCCTAGCATCCACCTGTACGGTCTCACCAGAGTTTCGCTTCAAGTTTGACATCATGACTTGCCAGTGCCCCTCAGAGCAGTGGGGAGGGATGCCAAACTTGATCTTTGCACACTCTGCATTTACATTTTAATAAATTTGTTTCACATGAGTTAGCTGACTGAAATATAGTAGAGAACAGGGACTGCTTTTTGAAAACTTTGAAGATGCCTTTAGATGAGATGCTCGTGGGGAGGTAGGAAAATGTGAATGCACTGCCTTCTGGTCCCTGTTGCTGCAATGAAATATATGATAAGCTCTGAATCCCTGATGTATTTTAAGTATTTCCTAAAGTAGATGATTCATAAACTCACAGGATTGACTCAACTTGGAAGTTTCTAGTTTCTATATCTGGTAAACCCGAGTTAGGGCCCAGCAGTTTGGTTAACTGCCACTATCTGACCTCTGATTTGAAAATGGTCAACATAGCTAACTTGCTACAAGCTAAAATTTTAACAGTTGGCTGAATTATGCTCAAGGCAGGTAATTCGTAAAGGTTAGAGAGTATTCTTCATTAACATTTGCTCTTACACAAACACTGTATTGAACCAGTGCTCTTATGCAGATTAGACCTGCCCCTTAAACATTTGCAGAAATTCAGTCAACCTTTCTCAGTGTAAGATGAGCATTTTCATATGTGTGTGGGTGTCCCCACAGGAGAATGTGTCTCTGGCAGACATTCTTTCTTTGCGGGACAGCTGTCTGTCTGAGGATGAAGTGTGGGCGGTGTGTGTGGAGTGTGTCCTGGCCCTGCAGAGCATCAGACCCTCCCACCTCTTCCACAACCTTTGTATCACACCAGACACTCTGGCCTTCAACGCCCATGGGAACGTTTGCTTTGTGGAGCAGCTCAGCGGTAGGTCTACAGCACAGACACACTCTGGTATGACTAAGCCACTTTGACAATTTATAGCCACTGAGTTGTACCTACCATAGTTGTAGACACTCTTTTTATTATTTTTGCATGACATTCAGCATATTATATTCTGATACTAATATACACTGATCAGCCATAACATTATGACCACCTGCCTACATAGGAGTCAGTGACAGTTGGTTGGCACTTGTGTCACTCTGCAGCTCACTGTGCATCTTCTGTGTGTTTGCTTCCACAGTGCTACTGTCAGGAAGAGCACAGATGTGTCTACAATTCAGTGAAAAACTGATGTAAAAGGAGTGAAAACTGTGGTCGTGAGGACAAGTTAGAGAGAATGTTTTAGACAAATTCAACAGCCTCACCATTCTAGGTGTGATATCACCACTACAGCCCCTGACTCTTTCTCTTCATAGAGACCAATGTACAGTATTTCTCATTTTAAACCTTTTTAACAAAGATTCAAATAAATTTTAATCTTTTGAAAAGTACAAATGGAAGTTAAAAGTTTAATCTACAGTAAGGTGATCCCTGGGCGTCCATGACCCTGTCTCTGACCCAGTCATCTCACCATCACAGTTTGGCCCTTGTCAAAGTCACTCAGATCCTTACACTTGCCCATTTTTCCTGCTTCCAACACATCAACTTTGAGGACTGAATGTTCACTTGCTGCCTAATATACCCCACACACTGACAGGTGCCACTGTAACAGATAGTCAGTGTTATTCACTTCACCTGCCAGAGGTCTAGTATTATTTACTTCACCTGCCAGTCGTCATAATACACCTGGCTGGTGATTGGCTGGTCACCGGTCAAGGCAGATCACGCTGAAATGGCCATTTCTGATCCTTTATTTTTCTTTAATTGAAACAAAGTAACACATTAACAAAACAGGTCTGGACATAGGAGACAAGACAACAGATACATGACATTACAAAAAGATGTAGAGTGTTTTACAAGATCATGGTGTGTGAGGGTGTGAAGTATCAAAACGGTGTTTTCAACTTATGCAGTCGATGACGGGCAAGAAAGGGAGAAGTAGAGAAAAAAAATCACAACAACAGTGAGAGGATACTACTAATAAAATCAGCTTGTTAAATTTTTAGAGGTTGGTGCGAATGTGTGTGGCCTCAGCCCCAGGTGTTTGGTTCAAGTTGAAATGTGTTAGAAATGTATCATTAAAAGCTTATAAACTATTTTTGCGAGTGAATGTCACTTTCTCTAGTGTGATGTATTCTATCAGAAGTTTGGTCCAGTGGTTTATATGGAGAGATTTTTTTAATTTCCAGTTTTGAAAGATTGTTTTCTTGACAGTAGCTAGAGAAATGAGGAGTGGGTTTTTGTATTTAATTGGTAGGTGGTCGATTTCTATGATATTACTGTTAGGATTGCTCACTCGCAGAGACAAAGTGAACAGACAAGACTGGACTCAGGAGTCAGACTCACAGTTCAAGGCAAGTGTTTTATTAGAATGACAGCAGGTGAGGATAGTCCAGAATCTTGGGGGCTGGTGAGATGCAGTGAGCGGGGACTCGTCAGTTCACGGGAAGAGTAGATTAACCGGTGATCCACAGCAAGGAGAGTGTGGCAGGATGAGGTCTCAGGGTCTTGCCAGCAGGATAGGCAAGAGAGGCATAGTGTAGCTTGGATGTAGCTGTAACTTTGATGTAGTGGTCTGAGGCAGCAGGTTCTAACAACAGGGAGGACAGGACAGAATGAGTGAAGCTGAAGGATGGCAGTCTGATTGACCTGAGGAGGATGACGCCTGTCCCAGGAGACGAGGAGGAGGTAACAGGTAGATTGAGAAGACTCAAAGAGACGTGGTGTCAGAGGTCTTGTAGAAGCTGAAAGGCTTCAGTAATCAGCACCAAAATGTTGTGGCAGTAATCAGCACCAAAATGTTGTGGCAGTAGTCCGCAATGTACTGGCACTAGAGAACCCTCTGCCTGAGTCTTAAGTAAGATGTGACTAATAGGTAAGTGATCACAGCTGTGAAAGTCAGCACAGGTGTGTGCCACACCCGAGACAGATTGCCTGCAGAAAGGAGAGAGAGAGAGAGAGAGAGAGGTGGAGCAGAGCAAGCCTGACAATTACCAAGCAAGCAAAGTGATGGAGAAGGAGGGATTCTACAGCCCAAGATGGTGGAGAGTTTCTCTGTCACTGCTATCCAGAGGGAATGAACTGGTAGTAGTATAAGTATAGTAGTAGGTAGTGTAGTACAAGTAGCATGAAAATAATTGTCGGTGCAACCTGGGGAAGAGTAGATTAACCGGTGATCCACAGCAAGGAGAGTGTGGCAGGATGAGGTCTCAGGGTCTTGCCAGCAGGATAGGCAAGAGAGGCATAGTGTAGCTTGGATGTAGCTGTAACTTTGATGTAGTGGTCTGAGGCAGCAGGTTCTAACAACAGGGAGGACAGGACAGAATGAGTGAAGCTGAAGGATGGCAGTCTGATTGACCTGAGGAGGATGACGCCTGTCCCAGGAGACGAGGAGGAGGTAACAGGTAGATTGAGAAGACTCAAAGAGACGTGGTGTCAGAGGTCTTGTAGAAGCTGAAAGGCTTCAGTAATCAGCACCAAAATGTTGTGGCAGTAGTCCGCAATGTACTGGCACTAGAGAACCCTCTGCCTGAGTCTTAAGTAAGATGTGACTAATAGGTAAGTGATCACAGCTGTGAAAGTCAGCACAGGTGTGTGCCACACCCGAGACAGATTGCCTGCAGAAAGGAGAGAGAGAGAGAGAGAGAGAGGTGGAGCAGAGCAAACCTGACAATTACCAAGCAAGCAAAGTGATGGAGAAGGAGGGATTCTACAGCCCAAGATGGTGGAGAGTTTCTCTGTCACTGCTATCCAGAGGGAATGAACTGGTAGTAGTATAAGTATAGTAGTAGGTAGTGTAGTATAGTAAGTAGCATGAAAATTATTGTCACTGCAACCTGGAGTGCATTGTGAACAGATGTCCATGTCAATGAAACCCATTTTGAACATTTTACTTTGTGTAATATGGTCCTATAAATGGTCTTGTATTGTATAAGTTGTAAGGAGTCATCAATACTCATTCACTTTTCTTTTCTTTTTATCATTCACCATTTTTCGTTCTCATGCCCATTCTGTCTCATTCTCTTTCATATAAGACCCACAGTTAGCACAGACTTATTCCATGCCGTGATGCCAAAGTTCAGAAATTGATAAGCATTGATTAGATTGACCATGTTAGAGTTTCCTGGTTGTTTAAGTCAACCTGCACTGCTCTCACAAATACCTTACACAACCAACATGGCATCCCCTAAAGTGTTGGATCTATTTTTTTAAGTCCCCACACAGATATTTAGTTAGTAACAGAGAAACTATGAAGTGATGTGTTGATACTGTGTTAGCTAAATTCCTTTTTGGCTTCTTTTGTTGCTGTACTTTATTGGATAGTGTTCACCCCTTCAGTTGTGAACTATCCTGTGGATCAAGAAAGAAACCCTTCGTGTGTTAGCTGTTCATGCTGCACACAGTGTATTTAGTTCAGTAATCATAACATTAATCTCTCTGCTATAATTGCAGCACAATTTTACTGATTCCATTTAATTGAACTCTTTGTGCAATAAAGGTGAAATTTTAATTTCTACAGACAATCCCATACTTTCACACAAACAGGCTCTGCCTCTAAGACTGGATAACAGAGTGACCTTGAGGGCTGCAGCGATGAATCTCAGTGAGAACAGCTGTTGCCACAACGACTCATCACTAGGGTTCATTTCAGCTCGTTAATCACTGCAGTAAAAATGGGAAGGCTGTTTTACGTGATTGTGGGTGATGTGGTGGCATTGGCAACATCAGAGCACTCAGCCACAGTAACAAAATGTCCTCTAATGGTTTTCATACAGTGATGACTAAGAAAAAAAAACTGCTAATTTTCCCACAGGGTTTAGCATCGCAAGCTGTTGCGTTTGTGATAGAACAAAACCGGCTGTGCTCTGTGGAAAATGTAATCAGCCCATTTGGAGAGTGTGTTGAATCACTGGTAGTACCCAGTTCATGCTACCTGTTGTGCTAAAATACTGTAGGCATACATGATTCACTGAGCTCTCATCATCACCCTGGAGTCAACCGCATCACTGACAGTGACTGCCCTTTTTATTCACTGCCTGTTTCATTGTGGTGCAGTTCCTCCTGTCCTCAAAGAGTTGAAATGTCTTGTCCTCCTTTTCTACTCCTGCTCTTTTCCTCCTCTTTGTTTATTTGAATTGTCAACCCCTTTGAGATGAGAGCAAAGGAAAAAGAGTAAAGGAAAGAAGAGGATAGGAGGGGGAAGGACATAAGTGAGGAAAAGAGAAATGGAAGAATAGGAAAGACATGGAAAGAAGAGGAGATGAGAATGAAAAATGCTAAAGAGGAAAGGAAGTTAGAGATGATGAAATAGAGAAAGGAGGAGATGAAAAAACAAATGAGGACAGGAGAGGAAAAAACTTAGATCAGCTTCACTACACCTGGGAGAGGATATCTTAACTCTGGTAGAAGAAGCCAGATTTTCCATGACCCACTTGTTTCCTTTCTTTCTCTCCCTCTGCCTTTATGTCAAGATCTCTTGTCCTAAGTCCAGTTAACAGAGTGTACAGTCTGATACCACTGTCTGGTACCGTGTTCTTGTACTCGTAATGGTTGTCGATGTTACTTAACAGCAAGATTACGTTAACCTCACGCTGGCTGAGCAGGCCGTTAGGTGGAGGAGAATTAATGTCTGTGGTTTGAGGATATTTTAAGATAAGTGACAATGACAAAAGTAGAGGAGAAGAAATTTCTGTGGTTTGAGGATATTTTAAAATAAGTGACAATGACAAAACTAAAGGCGACTGCGCTCTGATTCTCTGCTCAGCTGTGTCTATGAGTGCCCCTCCCTCCTCGTCTCACACAGACAGCTCCTATAAAGTTTAATGTTAAGTTGTGTAGTGGGCTATTGACATTCGGTCAGTTACATGTTACTGTAGGAATGGTGGCAGTGCTCTTTGTTATTACATGAAGTTATATTTATATTCTGTTATATTTAATTTAATCACAATCAGAATGAAAATAAAAACTATTTCTAAAGTCAGTGTACTTTTATGGTAATTGTAGTTTTTTATAGTAAAAACACTGCATTATTAATCTGCAGATCAGAAGATGAAGCAGCCACAACAGAGTGGTGCTGCATCCTCCTCAAACAGGCCACAGCCCAGACTGGATGCACAGACAGACACATGAGAACATACTAGGAATTCACCGATACCACTTTTTTCAGACTGACTACAAGTACCAGTAGTTCCATTTGAGTACCTGCCAATACAAGTACCAAAAGCTCCTGGCTTGTTTATCAGGGATTCTCTCTGATGCATGAATTATGCAAATAAAGGGAAGTGGCTGCACTAGCTCACTAGACTGTTGTGGTTTATCATGCTTTATACATATTCCTGTAATTTGCATCTCATTTCATCTTAACAAGTAGGCTACAGTATAGAATTGACATGGTTATACATCAGTGTTTACATCAAATGCAATGACATTATGTTACAGTGATTTTCAGACAAGCCTAATGGTGCAGTTAATTGGTGTGTGCTTGACCTGCAGATGATCCAGAAGGGTCCTTTGTACCTCCTGAGTTTGACAACACAGGCAGCACATTTGAGGTGAGAGATTTTGGATTTTCTTGCAAATTTGATTCTGGTCACAGTTGTACACGGTCAGCCCTGGGACTTTCTCAGCACACCACACAGTCATGGGCACCTTGCCTGTGTTTACTGAGAGGCAGTGGAGTGTGATGGTTGTTCTTTCCTCGCCTGAAGTTCCCCATTCACGTCAGGAATCATTCAGTTGCCAGCTCAACTCTGGCACCTCTGTCTGGGACTGAAACAAGGAGGAGGCAGTACTGTGAAAGGAAAACACACAAGGTTGTGGCTTTAAAGTTAATTCTGGTTCATTACAACATAATTTTTTTATCTGTAATAATAACATCATAATCACCAAGTTAATTCTTATTTTATAGTTAAATAATATTTATGATCTTTTACTATAGCATTCTTTTATTATATTTACTTCAGTGTGCTGGTATAGAAAACAACATATTGTGTTGCTGGTGATGTACTTAGAAATACATTAATGTGCTTTTAAGACCAGTCAGCAATTTTCTAACAGAAAACAGGTACTCACAGTAATGCGCTTAAAGTAGCCCCTGAATCAGACTACGTTCACACTGCAGATCTTAATGCTCAGATCGGATTTTTTGCCGAAATCTGATTTTATTACGCTGTTGTTCACACTGTCATTTAAATGCGACTGCCATCTGTCTCATGTGTGAACGGTATACGGCCCTGAGGTGACCCGCATGCGCAGAAGGGGACGTGACGTCAGATGCAGCGTACTGTGTTTGCGAAAATAAAAATGGATGCGGCTCGTGATAGCATGTACGTAGTGATGTACCAGTTAATGTGCAATCGAAATAAAGAAATAATAAGAAGAAGAATATGAAGAAGAAGGAGAGCACAAATATTGCTTATGGCCTCGCCTCCTCCAGC